AGTAATCTAACTTATGCTTACCTCACAAAATACTCATTTTCTAACTTAATGAATTAGAACTAACTCTTTTAAGTACTTTTGAAATTAGGCACAAACATGACAAGTCACCACATTTCATGCTATTTCATTATATTCAAGCCTAGCACAATACACAGTATTTTCCGATAGTTCAGTTTTGTTTGAGAAATGTTTTTAAACAGTTTTCGTATTTCTTCCGAACAAATTGTTCTCGAGAATGTATTTTCAAGAAATTTCCAGAATTCGAATCATTGATTTAAAAGTCAGACAGAAAACTTCCTGAAAATTTCATTAATGTTTCTAACAATTCATTTGAAAAATAACATTAAACAATAACATTTTCATTTAAAAGTCAAGAATTGGAAACTTGCAAGTTGAATTGAAATAAATTATAAAATAATTCTTTGAAACTATAATACGAATTTCAATGTCAACTCAACATAATTAATTAGTAAAGGTCATGTTGCTGTTGTAAAAATTGCTCGATTAATATCATTTAATATATTATCGTTAACTAATTGACATAAATATATGCACGAAAGTTATGGGATTTTTTAATTAATATCTACTAAGTCAAGAGTTACTTTACAAGTTGCATTAATTACATACCGTTATCAATTAGATAACATTGGAATGATTTAATTACTTGTACTTTAAGTTAATTAACTTATTTCAATCTATTCACTCGGAATATTTCATTTATTGTCAATGATGAACATTGAAATATTAAAGTGCAATATTGTTTATAACGCCTTCTTTTTTTCCTTTTTTTTAAAATTTCCATTGCTAAAACAGTACACAGTACATATTTCTTGTATGTTTCGTTGAAAAAGGAAAATAACGTCATATTTTGTTCATCGGACAAAATTAAAATGTTTCCATTTTACAATAAAATCATTTTCTTCTTCTTTTCCTTCATTCATTAATTCATTCATTCCTTCATTTATTCATTCATTCATTCCTTCATTTATTCATTTATTCATTCCTTCATTTATTCATTCATTCATTCCTTCATTTATCCATTCATTCATTCATCCATTTATTTATTTATTCATTCATTCATCCATTCATTTATTCATTCATTCATTTTTTCATCTCTCTCTCTCTCCTTTGTTCCTTATTTATTATTCATTTATTCATATATTTCATTCCTTTTTCTTTTTAATACAATATAAGAAAAAAGATCACAGAATGTGATCTTTTCAATTTAAACATTCTATTAAACCACCCACTTTTTTTCAAACCTTTTGATTTTTCACTTTTTCACTTTTTTTCTTTTTTTTTTTACTGTGGCAAAATAATTTTACATTTAAAAATAAAAGGACGATGTATGTATTATAGATAGAAAGAAAGAGAAGCGTTTTTTTACTTTTCTCTGCTTTTTCATCCATTTCATTTAACTTTTTTTCTTGAAATTTAAATGAAAATTAACCTTTTATTGTTTCATTTTTCCTTTTCTCATTTAAGAATGCTACTATTTAAGTAGAATTATGTAAAATTTCATCCCTTACATGCATTACTGTTGTGGTTGTTTATGTGCTAGCAATGATAGTTGCTATTGTTGTTGTTGTCTGTTGCTATTATTGTTGTTGTTGTTGTTGTTGTTGTTGCTTCTGTTGTTATTGTCGTTGTTAAAGCGATAGATAGTTACAGCATGGATATATAGATATATTAAAGGAAATTAATTTTTGGAAGAGGATTGATTATTGTGTATGATGTAAACCACCGAAATATCGTCATGGGAATGAAGATGATAGGGGGTGGGGGGAGGGGGTGACGGAAATGAGGACAGGAAGAAGGAAGAAAAAAGGCCAATTGAGAAAGCGGTGAAGAGAGAGGAGCGGAACAAAAAGATTGAAAGAATGTTGAATTTCCTTTCTTAACATTTGTTAAACTTTCTCGAAACGTTTGTCTTAATGACCTTTGAACTTATGATACATTGATGAAATTTAATGTTGCCTAGTTTTTTTCATTTTTTTAACCCTGGAATGGTGAAGATTATATTTTTGCATGAATCAATATGCAAACAGTGTGATATAAATTGAATTTATCCAAAAAGTGATGATATTTAGTTTTTTTTTCTTTTTTGTATAATTAAGATTTTTCGTGATTCGAAATACTTCATTATTTATAATTTTTTGTACCTATTTTCAATATTTCAAATGCTTTTTTGCATTATCTATCTAAGGATATTAAGCATAACTTATTTCATATATTTTTTTTCTTTTTTTGCCAGTTTAATAATTATTCGAGTAATTTCAATAATTAAAATTACTACCGATGTATTGAAATGTGAAACTGTTTTTTTTCAAATAATTTTCAATATTTTTTTTTTCAGATTGACGAATTGAAGTGCTCTTATTTTGCAAACAAGAAAGAATTTTGCAGAACAACTGAATATTTGCTGTATTATCTTATATGTTTAGCTTTTACTGCTATTATTTACTGAAACTTTCGGACAATTGCGCTACTATTTTTCGACTATTATCATTGCAGATCAATAAAAAAGATACTATTGTTTTTCATAAAATCTATCATCACTGATAATGCCATCTGAAAGAATTATGATGAGTGCTAATGATAGCACAAATGATAATAGTAATCAAAGTACTGATGATATTGTTGTTATTCAACAGCAGATTGAAATCAATGAACATCCTTCAATTGAGGCAACAACAATGATGAAGTTAATAACAAAATCAGCTGAAAATGGCAGTGATAAACAAAATGAAGTGTTGAATGAAATGAATAAAAAATGCATATTAGGTAGGTGAAATTTTTTTTTTTCATTTCTGATATTCATATTTTAAATGGAATTAAAGTCTTCAATATTATTAATGATTTAATATTATCCATACATGCAGAATTTAGTTGCATAAATTATTTCAAAATATAGGAAAAATCATTTTTCTACAGATTTCTTTTTTTTTTCGTGCAAACAATGTAAATTTAAATTTTCGAATGTTTGATAGTAAGATAAAGTGAAAAGTATTTTAATTTTTTTAAATTAAAATAGAGGAAAACAATTTTTCCAAAAAAAAATATGAAAATATACATGCAAAGAATTTTGCATTTCTTTTTTTTGCCTTTTGATTAATGTTGTTTTAAAATTAGCACTAATGTTTCTGTGAAATAAATTTTCGATACTATCAAATGTCACCACATGAAATTTTTCCTTTAATTTACAAAATTTTCAAAAATTTTCCTTCGTTTGCAGATTTAATTTACAAAATTCATAAAACTTGAGTTTAAGATATATAAATTATAATATAAATATGAAAATTGTATAAAATTATGGATATTTAGCATTAAGAGTTGGAAATTATTTTGACTGTTTTCAAAAGATTTTTTTCTCAATAAATTTAAAAGATGAAAAACCAAAAGAGAAAAAAACTTTTTTTTCAGATATTATCAAATGTTAGATAACTTTTTTTCCAAAGCAAAAATTTCTTACAAAAATATGAAATTTTTTAAAATATTTCTTCAACATACGTGGTACTAATCTTATTTCAGATATTTATTAAGCCATATGACGAACAATAATAACTATAATAACAATAATGATAACAGCAATAATGACTATAATAACAATGAAGATGACAATAAGTATTATAATAATAATAGTAATAATAATAATAGTAATAATAATGATAATAATAATAATAATAATAATAATAATAATAATAATAATAATAATAATAATAATAATAATAATAATAATAATAATAATAATTAATAATAATAATAATAATAATAATAATAATAATAATAATAATAATAATAATAATAATAAGTAATAATAA